GCGTGGCCTTGGAGTATATGCATTCTTGGGAGTTATCAGGACCTCTCAGGTGATGCTGGCCATCTCATCTTTCAAACAGACAACAGGAGCCCCTGACCCTGGCCGCCAGCAGTGGGAAAGATCAGTGTGGAGACTAGAACCCACAAGCTGTCTTCCAAGCCACCATCTTTCCTCTGTCAATTCCCCCGGCTTTTACAGGGTCACGCACAGACGCACCAGGAAATACAATCTCAACAAGCATGGACCCTCTTTTAGCTGGGTTGTTTTTCTGCGGTCCAGATTTTAAGAGCAAGCCCCAAAGAAAGGCTAGCTTCTGACTGAGGATTCAGTCTCCTTCCATTTGTTTTGCAACAGTGGGGGAACAGATTGAGAACAGCCCACAGGCATCCCTTCCGGTCCCCTCTCTTTTACATCCCTGACCCAGAATAAATGCTGTCATGCTCCAAATCCTACTCCTGGGATCCAGCCAGACTTCAGCATCACTTTGTACCAATGTTTTTAAAGTTGCTTTAATTTTTAAGAGTGTTACCACATCTTATGCATGTGTGCGCTGAATTAAGGTAGGAGGACAACCTTCAGGAGTCAGTTCTCTCGTTCCAACAACTCAGGTCATCAGGCTTAGCAGCAATGCCCTTACCTGCTGAGCCACCTTACCAGCTTTCTCCCACCCTTTAAATCAGATTGTTTAGTGTGAATGTATGGATGCTTATGTAATGGCTCTTGTGAACATCAGAAGACAACTTTTGGGAGTTGGCTCTCTCCTTCCACTACCATGTGGGTCCCGGGAATCAAATTCACATTGTCAGGCAAGCTCCGTTACTCAGTGAGTCATCTTACTGGTAACCTTGTTTTGTTTAGAGACAGGGTTTCCTGTGTCCTGGGCTTGTCTTAAACTTGATAAGGATAGCCTTGAACTCCTAACCCTCCTGTCTCCACCTTCTGAGTACTGGGATTATTGAGACTTCATACCATGTTTATGAGATGCAGAATTTTGTATATGCTAGGCAAGGTCTCTTTAAAAAAAAAAAAAATGAGTTGTGTCCCAAGCCCCAGAAACTAACTTTTTAAAAAAATGTGCAAAAGGGCTGCAGGAATAGTCAGCCAGTGGTAGGTCCCTTGCTTAGCCCTTGCCTATTTCTTGCCTAGCTTTGCCTACTCCTTGCCTAGCTCTTGCCTAGTCCTCCCTTGCCTAGCTCTTCTTTGCCTAGCCCTTACCCAGCCCTTACCCAGACCTTACTCAGCCCTTGCCCAGCCCTTGCCCAGCCCTTACTCAGCCCTTGCCCAGCCCTTGCCCAGCCCTTGCCCAGCACACACACAACCCTGAGTCCCACCCTAGCACAGCAGAGAAAATAAGTGATCCTTGAAGCAGTGCAAGGTAGAAATAGCTCTTTTCTTTGGTATACCCATCAGATATTCACACATTTTCACTGGATGAAGACTCTCCCTTTCCCCTGTAGTGAAGAGGGGGTTGAGTTTTCTAACCACACCCTGGGTGGGAGACTCTGGATCCATTCTGCTAACTCTGGACCTTGGCCAAAACTCTGTCAGAGACAATGAGGACTTGCTTCTCGGATACTTCAAAAGGGTACATTCTCCCAAGTCACAGAGCAGCCTCTGTGCTCCCCAGATTACTCATGCACACTATCTCTCAGTGTGAAATTCATTCATGTTCAGGCCTTGAGAGACAAGAGCTGCCGATTGGCTCAGTTAGTAAAGTGCTTGTCTAGCGTGCACAGAGAGTCTGAGTCCAGCACACGAGACTGCGTTTAAAAACAAGTGAAGAATGAGCCCCATGCCCATGAAGATACCAAGTAGGCTCTACCTAACAAGGGCCATTTGCTACTACACTTCCTTAATTTCTCCCTGGTTGAGCCCAGGGAGTTCGGAAGAAGACTGGTGGCCAGAAAGAAGGTTCTCAAACTGATGTACACTCACTGAGCTTTGCCCACTGGGCACAAGCCTGCCTAATGCCCAGATACTTCCATCCTCACAGGACAGCACTGGCTAGATTCCTTCCTTGTGTCCAGGACCTCTGGAATCTCTGGGCTCCTTCAACAAGTCAATGTTTGTTGAGTGGGCTTAGATGCCAGGTAACTCAGGAAGAGGAGAGGAAGGGGGGAGGGAAGCAGTGAGGAGCCATGGCTGCCTCCGAAGGGCACAGGGGGTGCAGAAGGGAACGGTCACAGTTGCCGTCCTCACAATACTCAGAATCAGCGGCAGAAGGGACATCAACAGTGTCAGCTTTTCCCAGTGACTCTGGTTGGATAATTGCGACCATAAAGACAGGAAGACACTCCCTCTCCATCCTCAAACACAGTGATAGGTCTTGCCTAAATATTCTTTGATGTGGCTGACAAAACTTTGAAAAGGCTGTTTGCAGGAAGGAAATGGGACTTATGAACAAAATCATAGCACAAACTCAGACCAGAGGGCTCAGGGAGTCTTAAAGAGATAGCCTCGGTATAACCACCAGGGGTCCTTGCCCGTGGATCCATCAGATTGGATATCCCAAATCCATTTTCTTCAGCTGGTCTTTTGACCTTGGCCAAGGCGCATTCCCTCTGCAGTTCTATAGATGACGGCAGAGGCCTGGATCGGTGGCTTTTGATTGGCTATTACTTTATTATTAACCCACATATAACCCAAATCTTGTTTTACCTGGAACCCCAGTGTGTAAAATAAGGGGGAGCTGCTCATATGGAACCAGGGCATCAATGCACAAAGCCCTCTGGGAACCAAGTTGGAAAACTGCAGAGTGCTTACATCCTCCTGCAGTGTACCCAGAGGGCAGGAGGGAATCACCATTGATTAGTGTTCTCCATGGTGCTTGGGAATCCACATGCCATGTGTCATTGAAACCTCTGCAACAGCATCGTGCAGTTAATTAGCATTGGAACTGCGATGTGTTGTAACCAGGGCTATGAACTGGGATCTTCTGGCAAGAGGCAGAATTGGATTGAATTACGGGTTTTCTCTATTCCAAACACAATATCCCAGCCCCACCCCAGCTCTGCACCCTTTAGCTATGTAGAATATTGAGCTGGATTGATTATTTCCTTGCATCATAAATACAAATATATGTATAAACATATAAGCACAAGTTATATTCTTAAAGACTATAACTCTTCCTCTAAATTATGAGATTTCATTTTGAGGCAAAGATGTGGCTGGTTTTTTGTTTAATTACATCAGCTAATATTCCATAATGGGCATTGTTAATTCGAACAAGGAACTGTTGGTTAAAATTGGTGCTAATCATTCATGTTGAGTTTATATCATGAATTAGGGACAGGTTGGAGGTACCCTTGACCTTTTCAAGTTGCTCCAAATCCCACCAATCTCAGATGCAAAGCGTAGCTGAAGACCTGAGGGACAATTCTCACGGTCACTTAAGTCATCGGGCATCTCAGCTCTTCAGGGTGTGGGTGTGTCCGAAGGTAACATGATGCTGTTGCAACCCCTCCCAATACTGCACATCTTTCCTATACTCCCCACCCCACCAGCCCCCGCTCAGTTGCCTCCTCTGTGGGGGATGCTAAGAAAACTAGACCGGTTGGGTGACACCAGTTGAGGACCTATAGAGGAAGCCCACCAGCCAGGCAAGCAAGCAAGTACACTCCTGTGCACCATCCAAAGGTCCTCCAGAGGCCACTAGCGAATCCAAAGATCACGGGCCTTCAGGAAAGAACCACCGAAGGCAAGACAAGTTTTAGTCAGGCATGAGGCGTGGCAGGGCGTGCCAGTGGCTTCTCTGTATTATTTTATGTCACTTGTGTCACAGAAATCGAAATATTTTACATGCCACCTGAAGGCACAGAGCAAATCCCAGCAGTTGGCAACAGCTGTTGGAGAGACCTTTGTGAAGTAACTTGCTGGACCTGGGAGGAAAGGGCAGAATGGTGGCTGGGGGACAATGGCTAGGACTTTAAAGAAGCCTACGCTGGACTGCCTTGGAAATCAGTCACGAAGCCAAGAAGACAGCTGTGCCAAGCCTTGGGATGTGGCACTGCACTGTCAAAGAGAGTTATCAGCCCCTCTTTCTTAGACAAAGAAAAGGTTGGGCACGTGGTCCTCACCCAGGCCTCCCCAGACCCATTTCAGCCCCAGGTCCCCGGGGAAGGCGGTGAATCAATCGTCCTGATCCAGGTAGGAAAGGTGGGAGGAGACAAGGCAAAACAAAACCAAGTCCCCATCACACATCCCCAAGGACTTCATACAGGCCTCACCCCACATGACTCTGCTCCCCTGCACCATCTGGGAGGTGCCCCTGCCACCGCCCTTTGATGGTGGTGTTGGGGTGGTGGGAGGCTGCCACTTGGAAATTTCCCGTGCATTCCTAGAGGTGCCTGCCCTGTCTCCAAAACCCCTGCAGGGGAGAGCAGACAAGAGGGACGGGAGGAAGACATCTACTCCAAGATGCATACTGGCCTCTTTGCCACCTGCCTTTGACTCTTTCTATTTGAGAAACCTAAAAGAGAGTATTCTGCCCATTCTACTGAGTGCCCCACTTCATCTGGCTACTGTGTCCGCGAGGGATGACCCCTCCGGGCAGCTCCTGTCGCTTGTCGGTCTGTCTGTCATTTTCACCTGACAAAGCGCGGCAGCAGATGAGCCCAGGGCATTTCTCCCAAAGGAGACGCGCGGGGCACCCACTCCTGGGCCTTGCAAACCGCCCCACCCGTAATGGAACAAAGCAACAGAGAGGCAAGGCGAGACGCAACCACCAACCCGGGCGACTCCACCAGCGTGCGGGGACCCACGCCCCGGTCCCCCTGCAGGGCGCCGCCTGAAGACCCATGGGCCAGTAGCGCCGCGCGTCCTACGCCTTCTCTTGCTCCCCGCGTCCCCAAGCAGCTACTGTACCTGCTAAATTTAGCGACCGCCCGGGTATTAATAGCTCTAGCGACCCGGGGCTGGTGGCTCGCAGGGGCGCGCGGCCCTAAGGGACCTGGAGACCTGGAGGGAAGGGAAGAAAGGACGCAGGACAAGAGGCCACTTACACCACCAGCCTGGAGATGATCCACGACACCATGGCGGGCGGGCGGGCGCGGCCCGGCTGCTGAGCTGCGGACTGTACTGCGCTCCCGACACGTCTGTCTGTCCGCGCACCGCCGCCGCCGCCAGACTGAGCGCGCCCGCCGGCCCGGCCCCGCGCTCGCGCGTCGGCGCAGCCGCGGCACGTTCCGCCCGCTGCCCCAGCCCCCCGGGGCTCCGTGGGCCCGCGGCGATTGGGCGGCTAGCGGTGAGGGCACCCGTGCGACCCGCCCCTGTTCCGATCGTCCCAGCCCTAAGGCTGCAGCCAGGGCGGGTCCTCCTCCACCCGCTGTGGCGTGGCGTGGAACCTCGCCTTGCAGTGGCCCAGTGGGCTGGGCCTCCGAACCCCCGGGGAGGGCTGCGCCACCCTCAGTGTTATGGTAGGGAAACTGAGGTCCGGTTCTGGACTTTGAAACCGTGCCTATACCTGTCTGGACAAGATTCTGTCATTCTTCACTTAGATCGTGCCCTAGCCTCAGGAGAAATCTGACATCTTCAACTGACTCCCCTGAAGTCATCATTACAGCATCTCAGCAAGTGTCTGCCTACTGATAGTGCTGGTGTCCCTACAGGACCTGTATCCTGCCTGCAACCCTATCACCATTCACCACTTGTCTGTTTAGTCAAGTGCAGATACCTTGGTGTCTCTCTCATTTACGTGTGTGCGTGCGTGTGTGTGTGTGTGTGTGTGTGTGTGTGTGTGTGTCTGAGCGTGTTCACATGCACCACCACACACGTGGTGTGGAGGGGGTTGTTCAAAGGACAATATGTAGGAGTCAGTTATATGTGGGTTCCCAGGAATCAAACTTGGGTCATTAGGCATGGCAGAAAGCACCTTAACCGGGGGCTTGGACTTTTCTGTGTACGGACATACTCTTGTCTTGGTTTGATTTATCTTTAAGCCTCAACTGATGAGCTATAAGAGCTGAACGTTGTGTACATCGTGGCAGAGCCGGTGGCATCCTAGGCAAAATGGAATCTGCATTCAATATAAACACTTGAATGCATTTAAAAATTATTGCATCATATAGGCTTTGTCTTGGTACCTGAATTTTATGGTGTCCCTTTAAATGTTACAGCTCGGCTGAGTGACTGACTTGCTCACCCCAAGGAGTACCTGCACCAATTTCATTCAATGTCACTGCAAAGCCTCTGTCCTTTATCCTTTGGCTCGGCTGCTCCCTCCCTCCAATTGCTTAGGTTCCAGTGACCTGCTCTTTGCTGATATCCTGTTGTGTAAAATTCAGTGCACAATATGAGACATTCTGTAGAGACCTAGCATGCAGCCCTCTCTAATGGAACTCTGTCCAAGATGGCTTCCTGCAGAGGCAAGGTGACTTTGGACTTGAGCTGTAAGACACTGGAATTCTAGCGCTTTCAAATGTAGCAGAATGTCCATGATGCCATATACTATCATTCCGGTACTTCCCCCCATCTCATATGAATAGCAAAATCCCAGAGACAGATATTGGGGTGAAAGTTGAAGATCAGAGAAACAAAACAGCCCGCTACTAGCTCTTACCTCTACCTCAGACTGAAAGGGTTGATCCTGTCTCCAGGAACCCTCAGACTCCTTCTGAGACTGCACTGAGCTCCTTATATCCTCTCTAGTGCTGGGATAAAGGGCATGAGCTCTGTTTCTCTTCTAGACTGATCCACTCTCATGTAGCCCAGGGTGGCCTTGAACTCACATAGATCCATCTGCCTTTGTCTCCTGAGTCCTGGGATTAGAGGTGTGGCCACCACTGGCTGTCCTCTGTGGCTAACTAGTGGCTCAGGTGTGTGGCTAACTAGTGGCTTCGCTCTGCACTCTGATCTTCAGGCAAGCTTTATTTGTTAAATTACAAACAATGTATCACTACATCTCCCTCGTTCTCTCTCATGTGTATGTACATACAGATAGAAAACACTTTTTAACAATGAAGGAGCTCTAAGAGAGCTGTCTTTTGTGATGAGGAGTCTTAAAAAAAAACCCTTAAAACACAATATTTAGTATAGGGAGTTTTAGTGTAGTGTTGAATCCCATTTGGAGGCTGGTCATTTCCTCACGGCCCCAGACCACTTCCCTTACAGAACCCTTCCACTCCAGCCTACTCTACACACCTAGATATGAGACAACCATAGATGCCCCTGTGTTCCGGAGCACCCTGAAATTATTCAAATAGGTAAGTGAAAAACTCAGATTAGATTGCTGCGCTCAACTGGATGTTTCCATTACTGAAATGGCACACTTAGAGCCGGAGAAATGGGCTGGAAACAGTCAGGAGGATTCGTTCCAGAGCAAGGCTGAATGATGGGCAGCTGGGAAAAGGCTGAATGATGGGCAGCTGGGAGAAGGCTGCCTTTGTTGCATCCCACTTCTCTGAGCAAAAATGTGGCACATCCTGACTCTCTCCATCCTGGCCCCCTCTGGTTTGTCCTTGGCCTTAGCCCTGAAAATGCTGAGACCAGGGAGGAGATCAGCCATCTAAACAATGGGGCTCTCAAACACTATCAGTTGGCTCACTTTGAATCCCTTTTCTGGAGATCAGAGTGGCTGTGGAGTGACTTCTGCAGGCTCTATCAGAAGATAGAAGAATTTGGGAAGGAAAGCAGAAGTGAGTACTTAGTGTCTGCAAGAGCCTCCTCTGGTCTCTGTGGACTCACAGACATCTTGCGCAACCTCCTTATGTAGAGCCAACACCCTATGTTTCTTCTCTAGAGATTCCATTCCTGGAGCAGGTGGCTTTGCAGTGGCTTGTATTTAGCTACACCTCTTTCGATTACAGCAGGCCAGGGAATCCTATCCAGGCTCTGTCTCATTTATTGACTTCATGACCCGGTGGTTGGCATATGGCAGGGGTTCCATACAAGCTTGTTGAATGAATGAATGAATGAATGAATGAATGAATGGACCAGGAGACAATCTTTCTTACCACATCCTCTTTGCTACCACTGGGCTTCTCCAGCTCTTTCTTTCTGGTATTTGTATCAGAATGAAAGCAGTAGATACACAGAGCGGCCTCAGGAGCCCCAGGGAAAGGAATCTCTGCTCCTCCAGGAAAATATTGCAAACCCGAACTATAGCTCCACCCCCACCCCTGCAATGTGTGAGCAGACACGCATGAACATGTGTGTTTACAGGCTGCATATCTACCTTAGGAGCTGTTCATTGTTGGTCATCCGGGGGGTTGTTTTTTTGTTATTGTTGTTGTTTTGTTTCATTTTGTTTTTGAGGCAAGGTCTCTCAGTAGCCTGGAAGTCACCAAGTAAAGTAGATTATCTAGCCAGTAAACCCCAGGGATTCACTTGTCCCTATCTCCTCCGCACTGGGGTTTCAAGCATATTCAGTTTTATGAACTAGCTAGCTCGGGTTCCAAAACCTACAATTTATTATTAATATTAATTCTTCTTCTTTTTCTTGGATGTGTAAGGGTTTTAAAAAGTTTTCTTTATTTACATTTATGTATTTGTTATGGTGTGGGCAGGGGACACACATGCACGAGGAGGTGGAGGAAAACTAATGCACAACTCTTTTTATTAAGATTCCAGGGATCGTATTGAGGTCTGAGCATTCCCGAGGCATGCATTTTACCAATGGGCATCTCCCCCAGCCCTCTCTCTGACTTGATGTCCTTCAATGGTGTCTGTGGTCTTGATGGTGATCATCTAATTCATTTATTATTCCAGCAAACCATACTGCTGTCCAGAGTGACCCTTCTTCCCTAAGGGCCCACGACACTGATTTGGTTTCACAGGAGAAATGGGAAGGAAGTTCACTTCCTTTCAACGCCCTTGCTCCGTGGAGTTGACTAAGAAATCTGGAAGAGCAAAAAGTTTCCCTCCAAACAGTTCACTGACTGACTGTTCATGGCACGACTTCCCAGACCAGAGGAAACCTGCTTCATGCCCTGATTTCAAGAGACAAAATGTCAGGTCAGGAGCAGTGAGGTGTCTCGGGATGTAAAGGCACTGGCCGCCAAGACTGACAACCTGAGTCCCATCCCTGGGATCCCTGTGCCGGAAAGACAGCTGACTCCCAGGAGTTATCCTCTGGCTACATGCATATGTGGCCCCTACACTCTCATGACAAACAAATAAATATAATTAAAGAAAACACTCACCTTTAAAAAACACATTATTCCAGAAGGATTAATATTAATGAGTAGATTTTGGAACCTAAGCTAGCTTAGCCACAGTTGTGAGAGCTCACAAGGCTGTCTACAAGATAAAATAAAATTGGTCCAGGTGAAATCAGGTGTATCAACCATGAAGCAGAGAGGACATGAAGGAGACGCCCCTGAAATGCCAGCCCCTCCGCTGTTACCACCACACAAAAGCAGGAAATTACTCTGTTAAAAGCAGCTACGTTGGAGCTGGGCATGTGGCAGAACACTTGCTGAGCCATGCGAGAGGTCCTGGCAAGAGAGTAGGGCTTTTGAGAAAAGAGAGACAAGAAAAATGGAAAGAATATGGGAAGACAAGAAGCCCTTTACTCTGAAGCTCATGGGGGAATCAGAAACTGCAAGCCAACAGCTAAAACCAAAACTGCCAACATAGACAGTGTTTGTCTTCCCAAAGACATCTCAAACAAGGACACCTCATCAGGGCAGGAAGGTCTGCGGTCTTGAGTTCAACTGGTTAACTGTATTAACACACCATTTTCATGCCTAAGACATGAAAAATATTGTACAAAAGGAAATGTTTTAAGATAAAGGAAAGAAGTATTAACCAGCTCATATTTCTCCCTCAATATTTTATTTTGTTTGGCTTTTTTTTTGAGACAGGGTTTCTCTGTATTGCTTTGGAACCTGTCCTGGAACTAGCTTTATAGACCAGGCTGACCACGAACCCACAGAGATCAGCCTGCCTCTGCCTCCTGCGTGCTGGGATCAAAGGCATGTGCCACCAATGCCTGGTTTCCCCCTCAATCTTAAAACTTTGCTTAGTTTTTCAATCTTGGCATAAATTATATCCTTCCAGCAATGTAAGAAAGAAAGCAACACTATCATGCATGGCCAAGTGAAGACTCGCAAATGTGACTCTCTCAAGAAACTCACACCCAGGTTTGGTGTACACCGTCTTGTTCCTAAGCATCTCTCTCCCTACAAGCCCACACTCGAATAAGGAGTGTATATCGTATCTCTACTTAACAAGCTCATTGACTTTACTTCTCTCTGACACTTCTGGGATTCTTCTTTGTGGCATCGTCAAGACTGAGTGGGGTTCCTGAGGAGGTCAGGGGGCTCCTCTGGCTACTGGCAGAAGTGCTGGGCAGGGCCTCCTCCTACCCACTGACCCTGCAGCAAGAGAATGTGGGAAATTTGAAATT